GATTCCTGCAATGGCTAATAATATATTCAGGCTCTTCTTTCCACACTGTGTGACCCTGGTCAACTATGCACACCTGAGGCTCCTTTTACACCTTTCAGTTCTCTGTCAGGTGTCACTTCTTGCTACTCTCTGTTTAGCCCTCAAGGATAACTTCTCTCCTATTTTGGATCTTCTGTTTCTGACCTTTTAAGTTCTTGGAAATCAGATCGTCACTTTTTAAATTAGGTAAAATGTATCAGTAAAGAGAACCTAATGGCCTTATCATTATTCATGTAGTAATGCTTTCAGAAAATATTAGAGATAGTTTGTCTGTAATGAATCTTTAGAAAAATTTGGTTACTTATTTTTATTTTTTTAATATTTTTATTAATTTCAGAGAGGAAGGGAGAGAGATAGAGAGACAGAAACATCAGTGATGACAGAGAATCATTGATTGGCTACCTCCTGCACACCCTCTACTGGGGATCAGGCCCACAATCCAGGCATGTGCCCTGAACAGAAATTGAACCATGATCTCCTGGTTCTTAGGTCAGTGATCAACCACTGAGCAACACTAGCCAGACTATTTTTATTCTTTGTGCATCTTTTTTTTGTTTTGTTTTGTTTTGTTGCATACTTCTCAGCTATATTCAAAATAGGGAGGTTATTTTTTGCTGAATTATTTTGTAGAGACAGAAAATTCTATATATACATAAAAATATGTGGATGCTATTATCTATGATGTTTTAGGAAAGTTTCATAACTATTTGTTTGGATAACAAAAGAAGAATATAACACTAATTCCTGGCATTGCCTACTTTATTTTTCTTCTAATAAAATTTTTGCAACCTTTCATATTCTTCCCCAGTTGTCCTATTATTTTGGGACACCATGGATCATTCTATCATATTTGTCAAATAAGATAGTACAAATTTAATATTTAATAATCTCATATTAGTCCTTTAATTTTTTTATAAACTTTTATTCTCATTTGCCTCATATAAGAAGATCTTTATCCAACTTAATTTAAGGACCAGGACTATATTCTACCTATTTTTCCCTAATGCTCATCATTCATTTCAATCAGGAAATACAATTCATTGTCCCTGCTCATAAACCAAACTTATTCTTACTTTTTAGCCATCTCTATTCTATTCTTTCCATTTGGAATGCCCTCTTTCCTCCACCTCTTTCATTCCTATTCATCCTTCAAGGCTCAAAGTAAGTCCCTTGACTTTGTGAAGTTTATTTCTATCACTTTATTTCCACACTGATTCTCTTGTAATACAAATCTGTATATTAGCTGTTACTTATTAAAAGCCTGTTGTGTTCTGGATGCTGTTCAAAGTATTTTACAAGGATTATGCCATGTAATATTCAAAACAACCCAGCAGTAGGTATTATTATTTAATACTTAGTGAAGCTAAAGAGATTAAAGAGTTTTTAAATTTATACAGCTAATAAGTGAAGGGGGAGACTCAAACTATGTTTATTTAACTGCACCTTCCCATTCATTTTCCCTGGGAAAGGGGACTTACGACAGAAGTAGGCTAAACTTAGAAAAGAGGGAAGTATATGAGATTTGAAAAAAGTCTGCGGTAAAGAGAATACCCCCCACTCCTAAAATGGCTATACTATGAACTTATCACTTGCCTCATATATGAATTTCCTTAATATTCACAGCTAAAATTTGCTCTATAATTGTATAGGGCTTTAGGCTATATGTTTCTTTTAGGGGATGGGCTATATATCATTTTTCCATTTGCATTCATTTTCTCAAATATTTTATGTGCTCTCTAGTTGTATTGGATATATCTCTATTCACTGCTTCAGCTCTATTTAAGTATCCATGTTAAGAAGACCATGAAATTACTCTTGGAATAGTGAAAATATTATTCTGCATTGTCTAATGGCAGTGCTGGAGTTGCTGAAATTTAGGCAGGAGTATTATTTTTAATATATTTTTATTAATTTCAGAGAGGAAAGTAGAGGGAGATAGAGATAGAAGCATCAATGATGAGAGAGAATCATTGGTTGGCTGCCTCATGCACGCCCCTCACAGGGATCAAACCCGCAATCTGGGCATATACCCTGACAGGGAATCGAACCGTGACCTCCTGGTTCATAGGTCAACACTCAACCACTAAGACACACTGACCAGCATAGGCAGAAGTATTATTAATAAGAAAAGTTAATAGGAAAAATTTAAAAATTAACAGGAAAAATCTCAGAGGCAATATTATGTAGTCCTTAATCCCTAGAATTCAATAGCCTGAGTTTGATATCTGATCACATGGTTTATTAGCTGTGTGACCCTGGGCATTTTTACATAACTTCTCTGTAATTTCATTCTCCTACATGTAAAATTAAAATCATAACAATGCCTAGCCTAAAGGATTACTGAGAAGATTAAATGAGTACATGTATATACAATTTTTGGACTGTATCTGGTGTATAGTGTTATATATGCTATTGCTATTATTTCTGTTGTTATATAACAAATACATTTTCCCTATTCATTAGTTATTGCTTTTCCAAAAGAATACAATCACAAAAAGAAGAGAAAATTTTGATAACATACATTAAATGTAAAGACTAAGGCTTGAGTGATCTTTTCTAGTTAAGTCAGAAGTGAAATAACTGTCAACATAAGAAATGTCCAAACTTGTAGAGAATTTTTAAAAGAGTTTATTTGAGCCAAACTGACAACATATGCCAGGGAGCAAAATCTCAAATGCTTCGGAGAACAAGTTTGTGGCTTATTTTATGCATTTGAAAGAAAGTAGAGGATATAAAGAAGATTGCATGAAGGTGGGAGAAAGCAATGAGAGGATGGAATTACAGGATAGGATTATGTACTCTCCTGAGGGTGGTCCACTTTATATTTTTTAAATCGTTATTGTTGAAAATATTACATATGTCACCTTTTTCCCTCATTGACCTCTTCTAGCCCACCCCATCTCCCACCCCAGGCCTTCACCTCATTATTGTCTATTAACATAAAGAGCTGATTGTTTTAGTCAAAACATATTATTTTGTTGAAAAATTAAAGGTTTGGTTTAGTTCTCTTAAGTGTGTACTCTGAGGCAAAGTTTGAAGTAGTGTACTAATCAAATACAACAAGAAGGAAAGTCAAATAGCATAGTGGAATTATCTAGATAACTTAGATCTGTTCTGTTTTCATTACTGAATTATTTAGATAAATTAACCTCTTTTTTTTTTTAGTTGAAGAAGTAGCAAATTCAACTGGCAATGTTTTCCCGTGTTGGTATACAAACATAAAAAAAAATGGATGTATATTTGATTAAAACTCCATTTCCATAAGAAGCTCAATACTAGTTTTCCACACCGGCTCCTTTGAAAATCAGGCTATATCCTTCCAGACCATAGGGGGTTTTTTATGCAATAGAGATAGATCTTACTCAATCTGTTTTAGTATTTCTCTTCTTTCAACTTTGGATGTGGTTCTATCCATAGCCCCCCTCTCTTCCTGTCAAAGGAAATGGGACTGAATTCTCTTTAGAGCCCATCAGGGATACTTCTTCAGCTGCCAAAAATAGTGACAGGAGACATTCATTGTCCACCTACCTTACTTCTGCAACATTCAAAATTCTGCATTCAAGATGCTATGACTGAAAACACAGGCCAGTCCTTCAGAATTTCTAACATATCATTGCTGCCATGTTACCCCCTTACTTTAGAAGAGTAATTTAATTCAATTTTAGAATGAGAGAGAGAAAAAATTATTTTTTCTAGTTACAGGTCAATCCAATTGTCCGGAGCTTCCGAATGAATATTTAAACTTGTTGAACAGAAGCGTACAAATCTCTAAAAGCAAGTCAGATAATGTACAAAGCTTCCATTCATTGTGTAGGCAGAAAGGAATGCTGGTACCCGGCAGCTCTCTAAGGAATGTTCTTTTGGCTTTGACTGTTCTGCTGGGAACAAGGAGGGAAACACATATATAAAATGAATTTATAATGTCTCTGACTTATAATGGCAAAATGATAAGAAAAGTTGGCTGTTTAATATAAACTGTCGCTGCATATTCCAGGCCTCCTCTCTTTGAGGTCCCTCCCACATCCACAAGCCTGGCTACCGTTTAGTGGGGATTACAAAGTGGCTGTTTATTATTATTGACTGGTGAAGCCTGTGCGCTGAAATTCATTCTGTCAACAGAATGTAAGCAAAGTTGGCATTTTAAAGCAGGGGTCTTTCGGTCGCCGGGTTTTCTCAGGATTGCTATGCAACAGGATCAGTGCTGTAGTCCCCGGTTCAAGCTGAAAATGTTACACCGGAAGACATACCATGTAAAGGTCAGATTCTTCTATTATGATAATTTTCTTGATCTGTATATATACAAATAAGGTTGAATGCATAATGTCTTATTATAATTCTTGTCAGGGTCCTATGGACTTTCTATTGTCAAGCCAAAAACTATGATGGTATCTCAAATGGGAAATCTTACTAATAAATGTATGATGCTATAATACCAAGGTGAACTTAATGCATACTGTCAAGAAGATGATCTCCAATGATAAAATCCTGTTCTGTGCTGGTTCTATGAACTAAGTTCAGCTTTGTTTGCTTGTTTCGCCAAGCTTCTAACAGTCAGAGTCAACTCTTCAGATTATCGCGTGCATAGAAAATATGACTTGACACTGCGGTGCACTTTATCATGAGAATTTTATTTCATATCACTTCCATAAAACATTATGTTCCATACATGGACTAGAAGATATAATTTTTGAAATTCATAAAGTTATAAGTATATTATGTTTTAATTTATGTCAAAGAATGCATTTATTATACCTGATAAGATGTCCATTTTCAATCCACTTAATAATGTGAAGAGATATACCAAGAAAAGTGAGTTGGAAGTTCATCTTTTTGTTAGTTGGCCTAATTTGAAATATTTTCTGAACTAATAATTTATTTTTTACATACTCCAGACTCATACTCCTAGCCGATCACTTCTGTGTTTTAATTCTGCATGTGTTTTTCTCCCTGCTGTTCTGTAGGACCTCCAAGGAGAAATAGAAGCTCACACTGATATCTACCACAACCTAGATGAAAATGGCCAAAAAATCCTGAGATCCCTGGAAGGTTCTGATGATGCAGTCCTGTTACAAAGACGTTTGGATAACATGAACTTCAAGTGGAGTGAGCTGCGGAAAAAGTCTCTCAACATTAGGTAGGAAAAGATATCGAAGGCAATAACAGCCAGAAATTAATTGAAATAACAAAATTTTCCTCATTTTTATAGCACAAGTACTAATATCTCATGTAAATCACCCAATTCAGAATGATTTACTTTATTTTGAATAAATGAATCATTCATTTACTTGGTATGGAGATGATAGTTGAAGGTTCAGATTAAATTAAAGTGGTGATGTTTATAACCACAGGAGAGATGCATATTAAGACATTAGAGTGAATTTAAATGGGGAATACTGTTATACTAATTCCATAGAGCTCTTTCTTGGTTTATCACAGGGTTATGGAAAAAGTGATAAAATTATAGGTTTGTTTACATGGAATTCTTTCTTTAGCATTAAAGATGAAATGTAAATGTTCCATGCATTCTCTTCACTTAACAGAGGACATTCTTTAAATACCATAACACATTATAATTAACAGTTTAGAAGTGACATCCCACAGCTCTGGAAGCTAAGGAGATATTATAGCAACTTCCTATCCTTTTCTTCCTCTAAGATTTTGTTACCATATTCTCTGCCTACTCATTCTTTGGCTGTTCTGCATGCACCTATTTTGCCCCTTCCTGTGTACCGGTTTCTATTGAGTAACTAATGGCAGCATCTCAGGAGTGTTATAAGGAGAGCAGAGGGAAGCTCTTGTTATACCTGTTTTACAGTAGTTTGGTGTTAGAGACAAAGAATAGAGATAATAAGTAAAATGCCCAGTGTCACCTAAATGACAGGAATTACAGGGATTGGACATTAGGCTCTCTACTTGTTAGTTACTTTTCCTAATTAATATCTTTTTATTAAAATAGTTTGTGCTTTCTTCTGTTTCTAGAGGAGGGGTGGTAGTGGATGGAGGTAGAAAAGGATAAATGGACTTCATAATATCTATGAGGGAAAGCACAAAACAATGGGAATAGTTACTACCTCTAGGCTGTAAGATTACCAAAGAGATATTTTTTCTTCTTTATTGTTCCTCTAAATTGCACATATGACATATTTTTGAATTATGACATATTTACTTCCATGATAAAAATGATAACAGAAATTTATTAATTTGAAAGCACTCATAGAAAACCTGTACTTAATATGAAATAACAATAATAGGAACTAACATATAATACAACTCACACTATGCAATGTCATAGGCACTTTATATTTAGTGACCCATCTAATGCTCTCAGCAGCCCTAAAAGATTGATTCCATTATTACTCTTCTTTTACATTTGAAGAAAGTCAGGCACCAAGAGGCTAAATAACTTTCCCAAAATCACTTAGTAAGTAGCAGGTCCAACATCTGAATATAGGGAATCTGGCTCCAGAGTCTGAGCTTTTACCCATTATATCCTATATAATAAAAGCCTGATATACTATGTCTGGTTGATCAGTTGACCATTGAACCAATCAAAGCATGATATGCTAATGAGATGATAAAGTTATTCAACTGCTCACAATAATAAGCACTGACCACCAGGGGGCAGATGCTTTGTCCAGTTAGCTTACTGCTGGGGTCTGGCCAATCAGGACTGAGCGAGATGGGCCAGACATGCCCTGGAGCCCTCCTGCAATCCCTCTCAGGCTGGCCAAACTCTCAAGTCCCTCCCTGGCCAGCTGGCCCTGATCAGCCCCAATCAGGACTGGGCCAGATGGGCCAGACATGTCCTGGAGCCATCCTGTGGTCCCTCCCACAGTCCCTTCTCAGCCACAAGCCCCAATCGGCTCTAATTGGGACTGGGCAAGATGGCCATGACTGGCCCCAATCACTGGCCAAGTGGAATGACCCCACCCATGCATGAATGTTGTGCACAGGGCCTCTAGTTATACCATAAAGAAAGATGGAAAAAGTAAGACTCACCTAATTTTTATACATAAGTATATAATAAGTGAAAGGATGAAATAGAGAAGCAGATTTCTTGGAGTAGAAAGGAATTTTTATTGATAAGGTCTTTGCAAGTTTGCACCCCAGCTTCCAACACACTAATTTTCATCTCCTTCTTTGGTCCTTGAATTTAGTAGTGATGTGTTTGTGATGAGTTAGGAGCCACAATGGGCAATGGCATTTTCCAAGATAGGGAGACTCCATTCTCTTTTTACAGCTTAAACTCTAAGACAAGTCAGTATATATAATGACAAAGGCCAATTATATAACATCTGCCATTCAAAAAGAATGAAACATGTGAGATGGAAGAGATACTGGCAGGCAGATAAAGTAAAGAAGAGCAAGTTATCCCTAGTTGGTTTTGCTCAGTGGATAGAGCATCAGCCTGCAGACTGAATGGTCCTGGGTTCGATTCCAATCAAGGGCTCATGACCAGGTCACAGGCTCGATTCCCAGTAGGGGGAGTGCAGGAGGCATCCAATCAATGAGTCTCTGTCATCATTGATGTTTCTATTTCTCTCTCCCTCTCCTTTCCTCTCTGAAATCAATAAAAATATATTTTAAAAGAAAAGAAGAAGTTAATATTTTTGCAAGACAGAAAAAGAAAGGTGATATAACTGTTCTGAAAATCTCTCAGTGTTTTTTCTCTCCTTCATGTGAACTTAATGAAATAAAATGAAAATTGAAAGCAGCAAACAGCATGTCAGCCAAAATATGCACTCTTCATTCTCAGAAATTTTCATATGCCTGGTATCACAGTTTAATTTTTACTATCATTAATCAAGTAGAAAACAGTTACCTTAGCTTATCTAAGGTGCTTCAAATTCTGAAATTTATATATTCCGATTAGGGGGTTTGGCTTTTAAATATGGCTCTCTGATAATAAAGGATGTGTTATAAATGACCACTTTTAAAAAGCAAATAAATAATTATTTACAGCAAAGCAATTCAATTTATTTCCTGACACTTGGTTGAAATAAGGGCATCAATCAATCCATACAAAATAGCAGAGTGCATTTGAGAGAAGCATAGTAGGGTAGTAATTAGGGATGGTTATGAAATAGGTTAGATAAAGCTGGAAGAGTAAGATTCAGAACCATTAACACTTAGAAACTTTCATGAATATAGTTTCTCCTTTGGCATTATTTTTTAGTGAAAAATCACCACAATTAAAAATAGTTCCAAAGATACACTGAAAAAGCAGCCCTGTGTTTGCCCAAGCTATAATATATATATATACTAAAAGTTACAGATGGTTCGTTGTTTTGTAAGGAATTCTGAAGGAAGTTTCATAATTCAATATGTAAAATCATTAGTGCTTGATTTCAAAGGTGTCCATTATTAATGGCAAAAAAATTGAGTTTGAATTAAAATGATTTTAAAGTTATCCTTTGAGTTCTATTGACTTATAAAAAGTATCCTTAAAGGAGAACCAAGATGGTGGCAGGTAAACTTCAGTACTCACTGCCTCCCACAATCACATCAAAATTACAATTAAAATACAGTTGATTCAGAACTGCCTGAAATCTGGCTAAATGGAAGTCTTACATCTAGAGAAGTAAAGAAAAAAAAACAAAAAACATCAAGACTGGTAGAAGGGGGTGGAGGCACAAAACTGGCTGGTTGAAGACCCACATGTGATGTATTTTTAATCAGGAGTGATATTTCCACTGCAGAGGCCTTCCATCAAAAACAAGAGGTCCCAACCCCACACTAGACCTCCAGGACAGGGTTTCAGAGCAGGGAAGAGAAGTCCTTGTAACTTTGGATTGTAAAAACCAGTGGGGATTGTGACTGAGTGACAGTGATGCTGCTGGAGACCCAGGCAGTCCCTCTTAAAGGGAGAGTGCACGAATTTACATGGTCCTGCTTCCTTTGAGCTCCAGCACTGAGTGGTAGCTTTGGGGAAACCAGTGATATACGGGAAATAACTTGATTGTTTGGCAGCAGAGCAAGAACTCAGATGTGACTTTTTTCCAGACGGGAATGTTCACAGGGGTGATTATTTCTATGTAGAGACCTCCCCCATGACAGAGCTCATATATAAGTTTCCATAATCCTGACTCACACTGTTGCTCCAGCCTGATTATCCCCTGAAACCTTGCCCCATCCAATTTTCACTTCCTCCAAGCTGTTTTCAGCGGCTTTTCCATATGAATGGCCTGCCCTGACTCAGGCTTCAGATTTTCCTGAAATCTCTCAAAGGAGCAGCAGACAGTATCAGTGTGCCTCAAACCTATCAATAAGGGGACAAAGACCAAGAACTAGCAGCATCCTGCCTTGCTTCACATCTGGGCCTATCTTAGGTACCTCCAAGGCCAAGACAAGTAGCAGCCATCTGCAGATTGCTCTGTAGTTCCTGCTGGGTGGTCCAAAGCAGTGGCTGAGTTTGTACCTCCCAGGAGGCACCGGAGCCATTACACCTGGTATATAGCTTCAGATCATAGCAGATTACAATTCTATATATCCACAAATGACACATTCAAAGGGCAGACTCAGTGAGCACCAAACAAGTCCTGCTCCATAGGTGTGTCTCTTGAAAAGCAGCTCTTCCACTGTATTCACTGCTGGTCCTTACAGCCAATTGGCCTGGAGGTCAACACCTTCCAGTGATTCAAACAGCAATTAAGGCTCAACTAGAACAAGACTGTGCACACAGCCCACATAGGTGTGTACCTGGAATGCCCAGCTGAGGTGATTGGGGAGGCTTAGCCACTGGGACCTACAGGACACCTACTATACTAAGCCACTCTACCTAATACATAGAAACAAACACATGGAGGCAGCCAAAATATGAAGACAAAGAAACATGTCACAAATGAAATAACTAGAAGCAAGCAAACTACTGGATACAGAGTTCAAAACAATGGTTATAAGGTAGCTCAAGGATCTTAATGAGAACTTCAAGGGACTTGTTGAGATTTTAAAGGATCTTAGTGGTGAGAATGTCAAAGACATGAAAAAGGACCAGTGAGAAATTAAGCATGAACTAACTGAAATTAATAACTTATAGATATTCAACAGTAAAGTAGAGGATTCTGAGAATGAAATCAACAATTTTGAATATGAGGAAGGAAAAAACACATAATCAGAAGAGCAAGAAGAAAAAAG